CGTATGAAGGTCAAAGTCTAAAGAAGTCAGCCTCTAAAGACAAGACTTTGAAAAAGCCTACTTCTGATGATCAGAACCTGAGCCATTCAAAGCGCAAGGACCAAGGTGACACTGATAGGTCATTATTCATCTCTGAAGATACTTTTTCACATGAAGACATAAGCTCTATTTTCTTCATAGAGTCTGCTGGGATACAACTTCTAATACCTTTTATAGAAAAAGGTTTTCAAACTAGCCTTCACCTAACTTGACAGTTTTGTGAAAGATTCCAACGTCTCTTTTGAAGCTTCTCAAAGGACTCTATTGTGATTCATCTTCAACGAGTATTTTTTTTCTCTATTTAAGGAGTTAAAGACTTGAAGAAAAATACATCAATTGACACTAAAAATTGAAGTTACTCTGTTAACATAAAAGCACAAGTAGAACTTAGGATTTTTGGTCCTTGTATATCTTAAAAGTCCTTAAGTTTAAAAAAATTCTAATTGTATATTATATTCGAGTGTATTTTCCCAAGAATCATTTATTTTCTAGGTAGATTGTTAGAAGTCTCTTACTAAGTGTTTGAGCATTGGAAGTCTCTTGCTTGTGTGCTTGAGCATAAATGTCTCTTACATTAGTGTTTGAGCAAAGGAAGTCTCTTGCTTGTATGCTTTAGCATATAAGTCTCTTCCTTGTGTGTTTGAGAAAAGGAAGTATCTTGCTTGTGTGCTTGAGCAAATTGTAATCTTGTGTGATTATAGTAAAAATATCTTATAAGTACAAGGGGACTTGATTACTCTCAAGTTGTAAGAGGAACTGGGATAACTCTGTGTGTTATTCTTCTTTCTTGCATATTATATTCATTGCCTACCTCAAACTAAATCAAATTCTACAACCTTGTGTTTAGACTATTACTTAAGAGTCTAAAAGAAAGAAAAAGTCAACATAATTCTATCCCCCTTCTTGTGTTTTTCTCACCTTCCGTATCCCTTGAGCAAAGAGCATTGTCTTCCTGAGACCCATTCATTTTGATTTCCCCATTAGGCAGGACATACTCGTTATCCACTAGCTAGCCTCCCAGGCCCACCTTAAACAAATCCATATAGCTTAAATCCATCTATGGATAAAGAAAGGATATCCAATCCTTCACCCACATGAATTTAAAGTGAGAATTCTCAACCAGATTATTCTTAAGGGTAAACATTTCCTCATTAAGTCTCTTAGAGAATTAAAGGCTTCATTCAAAGAGCGATTTAGTACGGCGGTAGCGGTAGCATGATTTTGTACATATAATGCCATTGTTCTAATTAAAGTCTTTAAATCATCTCTCTCATGCACAAAGGTCCTTATTGTTTCTTGGCATGAAGTGAGAGATTTGTATTAATGAAGATTCATCCAACCTCATCAACACCCAAAGTCCATTGAAATTGAAGAGAAACTTGATCAACAAGTTATGATCCAAGGCTACAACCAGCAAACCAATCAAAATGCAATTAAAATGAATTTTAAATAAATTTTAAAATCAAAACAAAATAGAAAATAATAAATAGGTATCTAAATAACCAAACAAAGCTCAAGAAAAGTATGACAAGCCAGAAACAGCTCAAGAATCACATGAAAATTTTTAGAGAAATTTTTAAATGCATAAAAACAATTTTAAACTATTTAAAATGCATGAAAAATGAAGAAAATAATGAAAAATAGAAAATTATGAAATAAAAATATGAAAAATGGTTTAGAAAATAGAAAGTAATTTTATGAAGCTATGAAAAAATGGAGTGAAAAATGTTAAGGGATGCATTTTTTTAATGAACTTTTGAAGTTAAATGATAAAAAGAAAATATATGAAATAAAATAAAAAGGAGGAAAAAGCCACAACCTTTGGATATGCGCTGACTAATCAAAGTGGCGCAATGGAGGGTCCAAATCTGCAGTGTATGGTGGATTTAAAATGGAAAAACACGTTGGATCATTAAAATACATGGACCATTAGATCTACGTGGACTAGCAAAAGTAAACGCGCCTGAGAGTCCATATCAAAGGAACACGATGGAACTTAAGTGAAATATCACACGTGATCCATTTTTAACTTAAAAGAAACTCCAACCACCTCTTGTCTTCAGGTCATCTTCTCTGTTTATACCTCACCTGAGCTTTGACAAATGGAAAAATTAGATAATGAAACCACCATCATTGTGGCTGCCAGCTCATCAGAAATTCAACCACATGCTTCACTTTCATTTATTGAGAGTGAGCATGGAGAATTTCAGAAAAATGCAAAGAAATAACATAACACGAAAAAAAATTAAATGATCAAAGTGAAGTATTAATGCAAGGTAAGTTAGGGGAAATGATTAGAAGGTAAAATGCTACATCTTTGTAACTTGTTTGAGTGAAAATGAAGTCTCAAACTACCTTGTCCAAATATGATTGGAGGAGCTTGAAAGGTGGATCTGGTCAACACGACTCAGGGAGCCTTAGAGTTTGATTCTTGTTGCAGAAGCTTCAGAGAAGTACGATGGAGCTAATTAAATCAATAAATGAGGTTGAAATAGCTCAGAAGTTCATAACGAAATCACAAAATTTTAGAGGGAAGTGTGAGCTGGAGCAGGGGTTCTGGGGGGCTTTTTAACCTTGGTTTTCAGTGCAAATGAACCTTTTATTTATAGTTGAAGAGAATGGAACTCATACGTGTGAGAATTGGCTTGAATTCGTGTGAAATCACGAGCAAGCAAAGTGTGACAATCCTTGATCATTAAGTCACTCAAAACGCAGGTTATTATATGCAATTTCAAGTCATTTTTTTTTATCTTTGTACATCACTTAACATCACCAAGCCTTAATCACGTGCTCACATTGACTTAAAAATGATATTTGAGTGAACTTGCAATTCTGATCATGGGCCAAAGTTCAATTTCAAGTAGCCATGTTCATGATGGGGCTAAATACAATCTACTCGTGCATTCTTTGATTTTCCTTGAGCCAAATGATCTATTCATGGGGTATTATACAACGTAAAAGGAATCAATCCAAAAGATTACTTGAGGTGAAAATAGCATGAGGTGAAATTTGGGGTTGTGGCCCTGAAAACCTGGTCAGGCATTAGGTCAAACATGTCATGACCTAGTTTTATGCATAAGTGGCCTTCAAGATTTAGGGTCCTTAGAGCATGAGTTGAAGTTTTACCTCTAAAGCAAAGTTGTACAAGACAACAAGAATGATATTTGGAGAAAAGAAGCGCCCATAAAAGTTGAATAATGAAGGAGTTATGATATTTGGAAGTTAGGCATGCCAAGCTTGACTTAAGGCCAAAAACTTTTATGTCCACAAGATGACTTATAATGTGTTCAAACTTTTGATGGTCTTTCAGGCACAATTGGCTCTTGACTTGTGAAGGAAAGTTGAAGAGGGTGTCAAGATGAGTCATTTTCCCAAAGAAGCATTCAAAAATATTGAAGTATGAAGAAGTTGTGAAGTCTTGAACTTAGGTTTAAAATGTTAACTTTTTGGTCAAACCTCCATGAACAAACTTGTATCCTTTGGTCTTTTCTTGCACTTCAAAGCACATTGATGATTATATGGATTCAAAACGACGTGCCCTTCATTGTTTCTTAATGAAACATACCATGGCTTGATGAAACTTGTTGATGAAGGCATGAAAATAAACACATGAACCTTGAAAATTTATTGAGAAACAAGTCATCCAATCTTGAGATATCTTTGATTAAAATGAGATTGAATGATGCTTGAACCCGTGTGCTTTGATATTAGAGGTCATGCTTTGATGAATTGCCTTTGGAAATAAATGGGTGATCACACTTGGACTTGAAGAATTCAAACTCTAGCTGTGGATACTTTCACATGATGCTCTTGATTTCAAACCTTATATTGCAAAAGAAACAAAGGGACAAGACACATATTTTGTATTTTGATTAGAGGTTAGTAATATATAAAACATATAAGTACAAGAAATATAAATAGGATATACAAGAGGTGCTTGGTAATCTCTGCGTAGGCAAACCCAAGGATGAGAGGGTTAGGGGAGAACCAAGTTTGTGATCTTAATGCATTGTGAAGATGCAAATGAAATGGGACCTTAGGGGTAAAAATTAGGGTATGACACATAAGACAAATCTTAGGTGAAGAGCCAGTTCAACCGTAAAAACTTAGAGATGGTGAAGGAATAGGAGGACTTGTTCTTCCCTAACAATAAGACGAGTGGTTTTCTCGACAGATTTGACTAAAGGGGCCTTTTAGGGACACATCACCAACCATGTATTGAGACAATTGACTTATGATGGACATGGGCTTGGGTCGTGCAACCCAACCTCTAGCCAAGCCACTTGTTGCCTTGCTTATCTTGCCATCCAGTTTTGCCTTATTGTCCTTTCATGACACTTTTGAATTTATTGAGTTATGAATCACTCTTCTTTAAAGTCCAATCGAGATTTTTCCAGACCAATCTTTTCACTATTTTATCCTATTGATTTTTTTAAATAATTTTCTATCTATTTTATTTTCTCTAATAGATATTTATAGGATGATATTTATAAAATATTTGATTTAAAATTTAAAGGTGACAAATATTTCTAAACCAAATATTTCTACAAATGTAACAATTAAAAAATGAAAAAGCGTGAGTAAAGTTTTGTAAATGGCAACTATATTTAAACAATGTTTGACTATCTTTATCTATTTAATATTGTAACAAAATTTTCATACATAATTAATGGTTTTTTTTCCCGCAATTCAATGAATTTGTTGAACTTTTAAATAAGAATTAATAAAATTAAGAAAAAATATAAATAAATTAATTTATTTTTTAATTGAGTAGTTAAGTGGCTCAAATCCACCCTTTAAAAGTGAATAAACTCCTATCTGGCACAGCCAACCCACTTTACCTTTTCGTGGCATCACATTGCCACGTCACACATTTCAATCTCAAAACCTTAAATAAAACAAAAACCTCAACAGTGGTAGATACATTGTTTTTTTCCTCCTCTTACTATCATCCTTAAACCATGTCGTCTCCGTGTCTGCTCACAGCTAGATCTCATCTTTCCATTTCCCTTCTTCTCCTTGTTATCATTCTTCCTCTCACAGCAACAACAGCTCAAGAATCTTCCCTTCTTGAAATTCTCCGCCACCATGGCCTCCCAGCAGGACTCTTCCCTCAGAGTGTGAAATCATTCGAATTAGACCAAATGGGTCGTTTAGAAGTACACTTAGACCGTCCTTGTTTGGCTCAGTACGAAACAACAGTGTTCTTCGACACGGTTGTTAAAGCCAACCTTAGTTTCGGACAGCTTAAGGTTTTGCAAGGCATGTCTCGTGAAGAGCTTTTCCTATGGCTACCTGTTAAAGATATCATTGTTACTGATCAATCTTCTGGCCTCATTCTCATTGATATTGGTTTTGCCTATAAACGACTCTCTTTCTCTCGTTTTGATGAACCCCCAATTTGCAGATCTCATCAAGGTATTGCATTAGTATCTTCCTCATTAGGGTTTTAGTTCTAATCAAGTACCAATGAAAAAAAATTAATTTTTTATAATGGGTTTTGTTCTATGATTGATTGCAGGTCTTTCTTTTCGTATGGGTGGAAGGAAGGGTTTTGGATTTGGAGATCAGAGATGATAAGATTATTCAATTTGTATGCAATTTTGGGGTTTATCTGTATGAAAAACTATATGTACTGTATGTACAAAATGTGCAAAATCTATGTAATCATAATGTCATCCAATAATTGCTTAAAATTTGTCACCGGATAATCAATTCAATAGAAGAAATTATGACTATAATGTCTATGTTAATGCTTGAATGTGCTTGTTACATATTTAGTCCATTAATTTTGTTCAAATTGAGCACAAATGTCTTTTCGAGGCTAAAATAAGATTTTACTCTTAATTATTTTGCTTATCACGTCTTTAATGAAGCTGAATCTAAGAAGTCATTTACGTTCATTAAGAAACCGTGTTCCTCAATGTTTTTGGATTAATTGTTCGATAATATTTGTTATCTTATATCGAATGGAATTTCTGTCATAGCCTTTTTTTTTGTTTCTGCGATGAAATTAGTCGCTAACATGTGGATTCATTCACATTCATAATTACGGCTGTGTAATTATCATTGGGAAGACGATGCACGACACGTCAAAATCGGTTATGATGCAATAAGGTTATGATGTGAGTCGTTTCAAATGATTGTAGTTAACTTTTGATTTAGATTCTTACTGTTACGCAAGTTGTAATCATGTATGCTGTTGTAACTCTGATGTCTGTCATTTCAATGCATAATTCATTCCTGATTTCCACTAATTTGTTGAAACTCCCTCTCTTTTTATCAATGATCATCTTAATCCACAGCTTATTTTCCATTAGTTTTTTTCCACTTGAACCTCTTCCTATACAAAGTAACCAAACAAATTCTGTAAAGTAGAACTTTTATATAACTTCATCTCTTTTGCAGAAGAACATTTATCTACTTTTTTACTATACTTTCTTCTCTGACTTTTCTTTTGCTTCCATTTCTTTACTTTACTCTAGCAAATGTACTAAAATTAAGTAGTAAAACAAATTTATATCTAACAGAGATTGAGATTAAATTAGAACCAAAAACATTCACAAATTTACTTAGGTGATACATTTGGAATTGTTTGATTGAAATAAACAAAACAAACCATTAACAGATTATGAAAGAGAATTATTAGGATTTTTGATTCACCTCCTTTCACTATGTGATTAATAAATGCACATAAACATTAACACTATTCTACTCTTTTAAAAATTGAACCGGACCAATCCAACCATTGAATTAGATTAAACATATGGATTTATATTAGCTCAGATGGATGAAATTAGTTTTATAATTCTGGTCGTCAAAGCGCATTACTCTGATATATATATATATATATATATATATATATATATATATATATATATATATATATATATATATATATATATATATATATATATATATATATATATATATATATATATATATATATATATATATATATATATATATATATATATATATATATATATATATATATATATATATATATATATATATATATATATATTATTCGATTTTGAATGAAATTCGTGGTTTTTTCAAATATCAATATAGTATATTTATGTGTTTTAATTTTTTTGTATTGTATCTTAACATAATTTTTTATTTTTTCAAAATTTTATAGTGGTGTTTTGCTATGAATCTAACAATTTAGTTCACTACTCATATATTTTATAGAAAATTCTTATTTCTTATTAACATATGCGTACCTTGATTTTTTTTTTTAAATGTCGTATTCCGTACTAGTACCAGTACCCGCACCGGATACCATACACGTACCTATGCATTATAGGTTTCAGTTAAGTATAACAATTGACAGGGTTTAGGCAGGGTACTATAGCATCCATCCCCATACTCGCGATTTAAAAAGGTTCTCATACCCGAGCACATACTTGCTTGTGCATTAAAATTAGCACTCGTACTCGTGTCCTATGAATATGTAAGTACTCATACCCGTACATGTTATCCACATTACTATTAAATATAAATAGATCAATTATAAAATATCATACCATTTTAAACTTTTAAAAACATTAAAAAAATTAAAAAAAATTCATTGTTGAAATAAGCCAACACTTATATTTAATACTTAATGGCTTAACATTGATATACTTTTTTAAAATTGATAGATATACACTTTATATAACAATGTAAGTTAAAATATATAAATATAAATTAAAATATATAAATATATATTGTGCGGGTATGGGGCGGGGTGAGTACCAAGGTGCCCATACCCGCTTATTTTTGTGGATAATTATCTGAGTTCGTGTCCGTATCCATTTTTGTGAGTTTTTATCCTACCCATTATGAGTAATTTTGTGGGTACCCACTGGAGATGAGGCAAATTGTCATCCATAATTTCAATTGGTACTGACCTAATCCAATTCATGAAATAAACCTTAGACAAGCTAACTCATTATGTCAAAACAATCAGAAGACGTTTGAAAGCTGAGAAAACAAACAAACAAACAAACCCTAGTTCATGTGTTGTCTCACTTTCATCTTCTCTTTCGACCAACTCCTTTCATCATTTTCAGAAAACGCTTAAATCCTCAATCTTTTGTAAGTATTTTGATTCGTTCATTCATTCGTAGTTCATTTTTTTTTATCTAAGTCTAATATTTTTTTATTTTTCTAATTTTATTTTAGTACAATGTTTATTTGCATAGAAAACAAACTATTAAAAATTTTGTTTTGATAAAAGGTAAAATTTTCATATTTTTCTGCATTTTCATGTGATTTAGAGTTTTCTTATTATGTATTAGGGCATTTATTAATCTTTGTTTTTGTTTCTTTTTATGTTCTAATGGCTCTGATGTGATGATGAAAGGATGAGCGTCTCATTTTATTAATTTGTATTTTTTTTACTTGTATTACTGCTTAGACTAACATTTGTATTAGCGTTTTTGTTTTTTTCATGTTACTGTCCTCTTTCTGATGGAACGGTTACGCTTAATACTTTGACCTAATGGGATAGTCAAATATATAACCACCAGATGAGGGAAGAAACCTCTCAACGGGCTATCCAAAAGAATGATCAAACCTATCACGGGTCATTCAACAATTAAGCCCAATACAATATTTATTTAATTAAATAAATTAATAATTGATATAATAATTATAATTATTTAATAATTAATTAAAATAAATCCATTATATATTTAACATTCTCCCACTTGGATGACTTTAATTAATTATTAAAATAACACAATTATAATAACTAAATATATCAATCATTTATCATCAAAATAATGTGAGAAAGCACAAAATTTAACAATGCATAAAATTATACTTACAATAGGTGAAATTATAATCATATGAATAAATAATATTTATTTTAACAAATATAATAATTATTATATTAAATATAATAATTATTATATTTGTTAAAATAAATATTATTTATTCATATGATTATAATTTCACCTATCGTGAGTATAATTTTATGAATTCTTGTGTGGTAATTACATAATTAATTGGTTGGTGATAAAATTATTTATATTAATAATAACTATATAATATCGATATATTATTATTGATATAAATTCAAAATAAATAAAATTTTATTTATTAGTAATTATGATCTGTATTATATTATTAAGAACTATACCCTATCAGTATATTATTATTAGTGTAATTTGTTATGATACAAAATATTGTTGGCATCTTATGCTTATTTTATCATGTTTAAATATCCTATCGATATTGAAGTTTTGGTAAAGTAAGTTTTTGTTTATTATTGTATCTTTGATGTAAGATCATAATGAGCTAGAGTTTTTTTTTTTAGGAAAATATTTGGCTGGTATATGTGGAATCAATTTTCTATATTACATAATTATTCATTTAATGATTCCTTATTCCTCCATGACAGTCTCTTTTCCTAACTCTGTCAAAACTCTTAATGGGACCAATTATGAGGACTGGAAAGAGTCTCTCGACCTTTATTTGGCTATAGCCAACCTTGACTTGACTCTGAGAACTGAAAAGTCTGGCGCTATTACTGACACGTCTACTGAAGCTCAGATGACTCTTTATGAAAAATGGGAACACTCCAATAGAGTGTGCCTTAAGGTGATATCTTACACTATGAAAAAAATCTATAAGACAAAGCATACCAGAAAGTGAGAGTGCTAAAGATTACTTGAAGTCTGTTGGTGAGAAGTTCACTCGTTTTAATAAGGCTAAGAAGTATGAGTATCTCTCTCTGTTTGACAAAATTAAGTATGATGGTGTTAATGGTGCGCGTGAGCATATTATGAAGTTGATCCACTATTATAATAAGCTTAAAACTCTCAAAGTTGAAATTGGTGAGAACACCTTAATTTGGAGGGTTCTTGAGTCTCTGCTTCCCCAATTTGATGTTATGCGGACCTCCTATAATACTCAGAAAGTCGAATGGTATGTGGATGAGATGATAGTCATAGTAACTCAAGAGGACGATTCTATGAAAAAGGAAAAAGCTCAAAGTGTTTAGTTTGTTGCTTCTACTTCAAGAACAAAGAATTATAAGAAAAACATCCATAAGAGAAAACGCCATTTTGATGATAAGAAAGAAAAAAGAACAACATAATATATGGAGCCTAAGGATAAGTCTTTTAAGAAAAATATCTTTAAAGGAGAGTGCAAGTACTGCTAGAAGTATGGACATAAGGCAGATGATTATTTTATCTTGAAAAAGAAACTTGAAAAGCAAGGTACACTCTTAGCTCTAGCTTGTTTTGAATCAAATATAGTAGATGTTCCTTTCAAAACTTGATGGTTGGACTCATGCGCCACTATTCATGTCGTGAATTCTTTTCATGAGTTCACAAGCCTGAGGAAACCAAGTGATGTTGAGGAGAAGGTCATTGTGGGAGATGGAGCTAGAGTATCAGTGATGGAGATAGGAGTTGTTTCCTTGTTTTTACCTTTCAGACACATTTTGATTTTAAAAGATGCAGTTTATGTACCTTAAATGAGAAGGAATTTAATTTCTATTTCAGCTTTGGATAAATGTGGTTACTCTTTTGTCTTTGGTAATGGAAAACTTGATATTTGTTTTAATTCCGCTATTG